AGGGAAGGATTACAGAAGCCTTGGCTTTAAAAGAACTACGCAGACGACAGCACGAGCCTGAAGCTCGCCATTTGGCTCGGTTGGAATGAACTGCTATAGATGTATTTTAGAAGCATACCCACAAAATTACTTGAAAAAAGCCCGTCGAATACGGATCAAAAATTTGGTACTGATCCATAATCCGACTAACCAAATTCTTTGCGCTGAGTATAAATAGACCGTGTTCTTATGCCGCTTTTAGTAAAAATACAGTTTTAGCATTTTGTGAGAGATGGATATTAACCGAAAGAGTGCGATCCTTTCTGCGGAAGGCAAAAACAATATTTATTGGAAGATTGACGTAACGAGAATGAATAGTGACTGGTATATTAATATTCTATTATGATTTCCATGAAAAAGTTTTCAATCTAGGACCCTACTTCATCAACGGATTGTTTATATGGAGTATTGTGTAGAAACCCAAAGCGTGTAATTCATGACAGTTCCAGCCAACCTCGACTATGAGTCGTTTATTCTGCCGGTATTGGATTGAATCTGGGACGTTTTGGTCACAGTGAGACACCATGAAGATGCTACGCGAGAGACTCTTATGATCCTTCAATTGGCGAAGCCACGAGGTGACAGCACAGATGTAAATCGCTGAAAAAATAGTTGTCGTGCCTTGAAATCAAGACGATGGAACAGGATGGAGCCTTTGGAGGCGGATCTGCACGGCTGGAATAACCCCGTGTAAGCGCAGGTTTTGAGAGTAAATAGCTGAATTTTCTAAAATCAATGTCTACTTTTTGGAAGAAAAATCAAAGAATGCGCGATCAGGCAAAATCTTGTATAAAATTCGCAGGGATCTTCGCCTACAGATGGCATGTCACTTTCTGGATTACTTCAGATCATGGCATTTTTGTTTTTTTCTGAATAGCTCACTTCTTCATGCTAGTTTCTACTGATATTACAGGTTTGAAGCGCATATTTTTATTGATGCTGAAAATCACGGTTTTCTGTACGATTCTGTTTAAGTGATGAAGGACCAAAGTTTTCTGCGACCTCTTTATCACCTGATTGAGCGCCGGTTAATTAATTGTGTAGTAGCACCGTAATTGGAGTAAATATAAAGATTCACAGGTATTGTTCTGAATAACTTTACGTCAAACATGTGATACGGTAAGCGCGGTGAAACTCGTTCGTTAGTCAGCCGTGGCGTACGCGTACTTCACCGGTGATCTGAGCATCTATTGATCAAATAATACTGAAGCATGTCGTGACGGTTTTCATCTCGGCACATTGCACGAAACAGCAGCAGCAAACAGTAGACGAAACCAACAAATCCTTAAACAGTGTTTCCGGTGGTCGGTGGATCATTCACCTGTGCGAATTCGGAAACAGGAACAACAGCCACCATGCGCTCTGTCAGTCGCATTGCGATCTTTTGATCCACCACTTGTCAGACGTTGTGCGTTGCTCCTTTACATACAGATACGGGTTTGTGCGTTGTTCGTTACGTCTATATGTTGAGGAAGTTTGATCGTCGATCGCCGTGTTATAGAACGATGAGGAACGAGCCGCCGATATCCGGATTCGGCAAGACCAGAAGGCGACGGAACAATAGAAAACGCAAAAACAAAAATGGGGGCGGCGGAGGCATTTCGTTGGCGTCATCATCGGCATTGCTGCCATCGGACAGTGATGGCCGTTGGCCTGTGACCGGATACGGGGTTCGACGTGGCAGTAGTAGCGCCGGCTCGTTGTCAAAAGATGGCCGTACGAGGAGTTGTGGTGGAGGTAGCGACGTTGGGCGTTCGTCGTCCTCTCGCAGACAGGGTTCCCTGCCGCTTCATCGCATCCCACCACTGATCGACTTTGACGCCGAGGGCCAGCTGAAGATGGTGGACGCCGAGGACATCGTTGCCGAGTGCTGCGGCGACGGCGGGGACCACAACTGTGGCGACGAACCTCGCACCTCATCCGCTGGCACCTCGCCTCCCCCACCTCCTCCCCCTCCGAGGTGGTTGCGTGCCGACCGATGGCCGTCGAACAGCAACGACGACGAGGTCCGAACGCGGCCCTCAGGCGACAAACGCTGCCGGCCCGATGACGACGGCCGAGCGTCAACGCCAAGGCATGTCCAGAGATCCGACAAGATCAGGAAGAACAAAAAGACGAAGGGCGGCGGAAGCGGAGCTACCGGCGACGAACCGTCCACCTCATATCACCCGAGGCACGGGACAAAGACACC